GCATCCCCTGTGTCATGCGTTCTGCACAACACAGGCGACAGAGGCGAGAGACAGACAGGAGTTCAGGTGGGCGTGTTTACTCCCGGATCTGGCGGCGGTGACATAGCTTTGCTTTGTGTCACTTTGGAGTAATGTGCATTGTTTGTTTGATTTTCACGTGTACATTTGCTTGCGTGGACTATGTACTGCTTGTGTGTTTCTTTGTCTTTTTTTGTTTTTGTTTTTTGTTGTTTTTTTGTTTTTTTTTCTGTTTAGATTCTTTGTCTCCTTTTTTTGTTGGGGGGGGGGGAGGGGTCTATCTAGTTTTCTTGGAAGTGCATGTTCCTGGTCTTTCATCTTCCCTCTCACTTTTTTTGTTTGTTCTTGTTTTATTTCTTCCAATTTTTGTTTATTTTTTTCCTACTTCTTTTTCCATAGTTATTTTCTCTCACTTCCCTTTTTTCTTTCAATCTTTCTTATTCCAGTGTGATATTTCGTTCTTTTCTTTCTTCTTTTCCCTCTCACTTTTTAAACTCTTCCTTATTTTCTTCCAATTACACTTTCTTCACTGTATTTCATATATTTCCTATTTCATTTCTAAATCTTTTTTTTCCCATTTAGTATCACAGGAGAACATTACGAAAAGGGAAAGAATATGAGTATTTAACAGCTGGACTAGTATCATTGTCTATATCTATAACAACGCCTTTTAAAAACAATGCGATTCTTTTGCAAGGTGCTTGTTAAAAATAAATAAATAGATAGAATGAATAAAATGAATTAAAATGCAGCAAAAGGGAAAGCTCTTTTAGATAATCATTATAATAATCACCAAACTATCGAGTTATAATTACAGTTCATAACCACCATTCCCATAACAGTTACTAATAACAATACCACCCACAACAGCTGCGTAGAAGAAGAAAAAAAATAATTGAAATAAGTATATGTTCGGGTTTGCTAAAGCCCCGTTCTTGGCATTTCAGTTCATGCAATCCTTATGCAATTTACACACTCAGGGTCAACAGAAGCAACGTTGCATGGTCATATACATCACTTTCCCTGTCATTTTTATACGTGTTCAAAATTCGTTTTTTTTTTTTTTTTTATCTATATGACCCGGTTTTTAGATCGAGGCTAGTAATTATAAGGTCGGTTCGTAGTGTGCAATATTAGCAATAACAGGAGTGATTCTCGTTGTCAATCTGTTATCTTTCGTGCAATAATAGTAATAGCAATACTAGATGATAATTACAGAATGCAGATAATGATGATGATAACAAAACAAAAACAGTAGTAATAATAATAATAATGATAATAATAATAATAATAATAATAATAATAACAACAATAATTATAATAATAATAATAATAATAATAATAATAATAATAATAATAATAATAATAATAACAATAATAATAATAATAATAATAATAATAATAATAATAATAATAATAATATATAATAATAATAATAATAATAATAATAATAATAATAATAATAATAATAATAATAATAATAATAATAATAGTAATAATAATAATAACAATAATAATAATAATGATGATAATGATAACAACAATACGAAAGATAATGATAAGAATATAAAAATGAAGAATAGTAATTATAATCATTACTCTAAATTGCACTTGAACATTTTTAATAATAATAACTGAACATAAATAATAAGGAAAACACAAAACAATGACACTGATAATATTAACAGTAATAAAAACATATTTATCAATACCTGGTAATGATAAGAGTATACAACTACACTCAGAGAAGAGAGAGAGAAAGGGGGTGAGGGAAAGAAGGAGGGAGAAGGGAGAGAGAGAGAGAGAGGGAGGGAGGGAGGGAGGGAGGGAGAGAGAGAGAGAGAGAGAGAGAGAGAGAGAGAGAGAGAGAGAGAGAGAGAGAGAGAGAGAGAGAGAGAGAGAGAGAAAAACAGAGACAAAGACAGACAGACAGACAAATATAGAGGCAAAGAGAGAGTCAGAGAGAGGGAGAGAAAGCGAGAACCAGAGAGAGAGCGAGAGAACGAACAAGCGAGCGAGCGAGAGCCAGAGAGAGAGCGAGGGGGAGCGAGGGAGCCATTCCAACGCAGGGAGACTGAAGGTCAGGGTTGCAGGGCGGGTGAAGGACCTGCTTTGCCCCGCCGCCAGACCTACTAAGGTACTCTGATGGCTGACATTCCCTTCATGACTATTTTCATCTCCATCTCCTTCTTCTCCTTCTTCGTGAACATCTCCTGTGCTCTCTCTCTCTCTCTCTCTCTCTCTCTCTCTCTCTCTCTCTCTCTCTCTCTCTCTCTCTCTCTCTCTCTCTCTCTCTCTCTCTCTCTCTCTCTCTCTCTCTCTCTCGCTCTCTCTGTCTCTCTCTCGCTCTCTCTCTCTCTCTCCCTCTCTCTCTCCTCGTTCTCTGCTTTCTCATCAACATCTGTCATACTTTCACCTAATTTTCTTCGTCGTAAAGTACAATAACTTGATTTAACTAACCAGGTCTCAACAACGATATTCT